GCACAACTTAGTTGATCTTACAGTTAGAGAAACATATAGGCAGCACAAAGAAAAAAAATTAATTTAAAAACATTTATTTACATTTATATATTTTACATATATTGAAAGTAGAATTGGAAGTTGAATTAGTTTTAAATTTAATGTATTTTTATGCATGTATAGGAACAAAGATTTGTCACAGATACCAGATGTACGATCATTTGATGTTTTAGTTTACCTCATGCATGCAGAAGTGTCGGTGGAGTTCTGCATATGTATTAAATTACAAGCAGGACAATCAATGTTTATCATCTTCATATGGTAGGACATATTCCTAAATTTTCATATTTTGTTTTTAAATTTCTTGAATAAAAAATTTGATTTTTGAGTACATGAAAGTTTTAGGGTGATAAATTTTGAAAACATAATTATAATTTATAAACATTATATACACATTTTCTAATTTCTTCTTTTTTACTACTGTACAGGATATAATGGAGCATGTAAGCATAATGTTGCCTTCATTTTTCTCATTGTCCAATTTTTTTGTGAAAGGCACAGGGACCGAAGCACCGAGGCCTATACAAACATAAAGACAAAGAAAAAGTCCGTACCAAGTGAAATAAGCAAGATAGATTGAAGATTGACCATACCCAACAACCATTCACTGTGCCCACATGGTGTAATATCCAGACATAAAGCATGCTTGTTTTGAGATACACACAGAAATTCAGACATTTGGGAGCATTGGCAATAAATTTTATTACAGCATTGAGTATTAAAACATTATACAATGTACATAAATAGTAGCTTAAATTTTATAACTTTTAATTGCTACTTTCACCTCAGGACTGTTCATGTTTGAAACTTTGTAGCACTAATAGTATACCGGGTATGAAGTATTTCTTATAAACTACATTTAATTTTAAAAGGAGATAAAGAATGTTTGATTAGCTCTCAGTCAATGATTTAATTCTTTTTTTTTAATGAAATACATCTCATTTGTATAATATACATTATATGTCTAGTTGTTTTTATACAATTATTTGAGATTTTTAAAAATAAACATTTAACAAATCTGAAGCATTTTTTCCCTCATAATAAATACTTTTTTACAAATGGTTTTTGAAGTTTGCACAAAAATGCACATACAGTAAGAATTTGATTGGCTACAGGTTTTAGATTTAATGGCATGGTTTTTGACAAAATTCAAAAAGTTTTAAATCTACCAATAGCTCACTCTACATGAATCCTTAAGTGAGCAATATGTGGATCTCTCAGGAGTGTATCTTGATCATTAAACTGTTTTGCTTTTTGCTGCAAGTTGTCTGTATCAGTCATGCTGAAATCTGTCTGAGTTGATGCATCTGTGTTGCTGTGTATGCTCTCCATAGTCATGAACTCTTGCAATATCTTCTATATAAAGTAAACACCAGTATAAAAGATACTTTAAGAATGTGAATACAAACTTCTGTTTGATAATAGCCATTTGTAATTTTGAAATTAACTGATGATGTGAATTCATAATATCAATGTAAGACGTAAAATAACATTTTAAGCACCTAGCCATGGGTGGGATACAGATGTCTCCATGTCAGATATCACACATTCGTTTACAACAGCCATTTAATTCTTGGGGATTTCAGTCATCAGGCATTGTTTTCCCTTTATTTCAAAGTAAACTGTTAGAGATCAGTTCTAACAGGCTAGGAGCATAGGTTTATGAACAGAATCTCTATGGACCTTACAACAAATTTTTATTTAAAAGCAGCATTTTTGTCAATTGAAGTGGTCAATTTTGCTGGTAGTCGGTTCTTAGGGAAAACACTGCATCAGCATCAACCTGAGACAAGAAATGAGGCAACAATTAAAAAAAACATTACACCAGTACACATGGTCTGCAATACATGACAGTACTGAATATTATATAATTTTTTATAATTATATATTTGATATGTTTAAGTGTAAGAATTATTAAAATTAAGAACCTTGAAAGAACAGTGCGACATTTAACTCCGGACACGACATTTGTCCGGACTTTCGCCAACCACTTTTCAAAAGATACATGGAAACTTTTAAGATCATCTGGTGGGATTTTTTAAATCACACATCATGGACTAACCTTTACACCTGAATATCTTCTACTTTAAAAGATATTACACCTGAAATCAAAAAATCCCATGGGATAATGGTGGGATTTTCTCTCCTAACCAATATCCCACCATTATTCTGTGGGAGAAAAATGTGTTCTGTGGGATTTTTTCTGCTATAGGAGAAAAAAATCCCATTATTCATTCATAATGGGAGTTTTTATCCTATAAAACTGTTTATGGAGAAAACTCTCCCATCTATGTTCAAATATGGGATTTATCCCATATAAACTAATAAATGGACAATTTTTATCCCACAGAATAAAAGAAACAGTATTCCTGCTTTGTTTTTTTGTTTTTTTTTCTGCTTTTCTAGTTAATTTACAGTATTCTAAACTTTCATATTTATTTTTTCAACACCTTTTTTACTTGATAGACAAGAATAAAGCAGTTTAAACTAAAAAATTTTGTTAATGAAATAATTATGCTTTATTAATAAATGTTTTAATATAACAACCATTTTCCCCCTATTTTTCAAATCTGTTTTAGAATACATATTTTTGGTAACAGTGGCTTGCTCCCGGCATGTAGTAATATAGTTTAATGCATCAATTACAATCAAAAAATGGCAAAAAAGAGAAAATTTCACAAGAAAGAAAGGAAAAGCTAAATAATCTACTATCATTCCAATAACAGTGTGTCAGTTTGTTTCATCGACCGTAGTACAGTTTAACAAATCGATTAAATACCAAAAAAAATTTTTAAAAAAAACTACAAAAGGCATGTGTTATATGTTTACATGCTGTTTACATGCTGGGAGCAAGCCCTGTGACCAAACCATGTCTTTGTTTGGTTATGAATTCTTTATTAAACTGGTAAGAGAAACACCAGAACACACATACATAGCCTATACCATAAGATTGTTTTCTTTTTTCTGACTTTAATCCTTCCAACTTCTCCAGTCACCACAACCATGATAACACCGGAAACTACAAAAAGTTTATTGGTTTCTGAATTTCATTATCCCCGTGCCCGATCTAATAGCTAACCCTGGTTTCAGCGTTGATATTCTTATCTTAAAATAATTTAATGTTTGTGTCTTTTTTGATTGTTTTATTTGCTAATAAGATGCTATAGGATTTTAATTTGCTATTAATATTTACTTCTTCTTCCAGTAATGTGCCTGGCACCAATGTTGGGCATTATCGCACATGAACACGTCTATTATAATACAAAAAGATATTAAAAAAGGAAAGAAAATGCTTTGTTTTTGTATGTTTAAACCTATGGTACCAATGAAACCTTCTGGACCGTCACGGCCATATAGAATATCTTATGTCTTGAGATTATTATCGTAAAAAGAATAAAAAAAATCACTTAATATTTATTTTCTACTAAGGTGCTATACCGAATTTAACTTTTCCCATTCAGAATTTACCATAGGCGTCGGAAGCAAATCAAATACAAGTGTTGGGCCAATTGATTTCAAGTGGGGGGGGGGGGGGGGAAATCCAACAGAAAAATGTAAACTTTCAGTGCCTATTATTTATATATTTGCTTAGCTGCAGATCTGTAGCTCTCCGAAAAAATATACTGATAGACCGGAAAGCTACCAGTGCCAACCAATTGAAAAAAAAAAAAACTGTGTATTTATTGCGCACAAAAAAGTGCGCTCGGTTCCCGATTTATTTCTCCATGTTTTTAAAACTGTGATCTCAAAATATTACTAACCGTATGTTCCACAACCAAATATTCCTCATATTTGTTGTTAATAGTCCTCCTGACCCTAATATTCTAATCATAGAACATTTCGCTATTTATACTTTTTTGACGCAATAAATATACAGTTTTTTTCAATGGGTGGCACTGTAGTTCTCCGGTCTATCAATATATTTTTTCGGAGAGCTACAGATCTGCAGCTAATATTTGCTTATCCCACCCACCCCCCCCCCACCCCTGTTTCCGACGCCTAACGAAATAAATCTTTGGCCATGCAGGGGTTATACCTATTTCCGTGACGAAAGTAAGGAAAAAAAGGACCTTGAGCCTCCGAACCCCCTTCTTTTTCCCGAAAACGTACATCCTTTACAAACAATAGGAAGAGTACTCTATAATTGAAAAATAATAATACACTATGAAGAATGTCTTTCCAAAGATATCAGAATTGAACTTGTAATGTAGAGTATACCTTTGAAAAGAAATTGAATGTTTTTAAATTTTTTTTTGGGGGGGGGGGGATACTATTTTAATGTTACATTCTGGGATATCTTGGTCAAATTGTCTGATTAGTGAGCTTCGATTTTATTTTTGTCTAAGCACTAGAAATTGTTTGCATTAATTAAAAGTTTATGATAGGGAAAATTTATTCTCACATAATGGAACTAGGGTATAGTGTTCGTTATGGGCCCCTCCCCCATTAATTCATACAAAGAATTATAAATATAAATAATTGGTAAGCTCCAACCCCTTTCCAAAGTCATCCATTTAAGACTCTAGGATTTATAAACATATTTAATTAACATATTAATATTTGAAAGACACAGTTGTAAATTACCATAACTTCACCATAACCACAAGTTTTCAAACATTAGTGACGTGTTCAATATCTAAACGCTATCTAGATAAATCTGTTGTTGCTCAATAAAAATGACATGCAGAAATTTAAATTCAATAAAACAAACTAATGACTCATGTGAATGATGAAACTTGCTTCATCCTTTACTGATAAATAGTCCTACAAATTTGCGTAGAGTGGTTTTACAGCTTCCATTCCAGATGAGAGAAAATAAGAAAACAACCTTTGTGTTTTCCTGTTTTTTACACCTATCCCAACCATTACAACAGGTATTGAACTAAAAGATGCAGATTACAGACCTTGTAAAAAGAACTCAAACTAAAACCAAAACATTTAACACAATTTATTTCATATTTGTACAATTGGTCAAAACTTGACATGCTCCGTCCTGCCAGTCACTCCATCGTTGAACAGCACTGTGTATACTGTAAAAAATGAAGAAAAATGTAAATATCATCATTACTTGTATTATGGGATAATATTTTAATGTTAAATATTCACCAAAATTATTCCTTTAATAAAATATTAAAAATCTAACTAGTATATTTTGTAAACAAATGATCAGTTGAAAACACGCTGAAAAAAAGAGGCCCGTGGGCAACATTGCTCATCTGAGCAGCTTTATCAAATTTCCCCCTTGTAATACGTATTGTGGTCTCACCCCTTGGTTCATAATTTGGACAATTTAAAATCTACACTACTCCAAAATGCTTTTGAGTAAGTTTCACCTTTTTCTTGCCCAGTAGTTTCCAAGAAAAAGGTTTTTAAAAATTGTTTATTTATATTTCTATGTAAAACTTTGATTCCCTATTGTGGCCCTGTTCAATGATTTAAACATTTTAGAATCTATACTACCCCAGGATATTCTCATACGTTTCAGCTTTACTGACCCAGTGGTTCTTGGTAAGAAGATATCCAAAGTTTTTTCCTATATATTTCTTTGTGAAACTCTCTATTGTGACCCCTCCTAACCCCCTTGAGGCATGATTTCAACAATTTCTACACTTAGGATGTATCACATAAGTTTCAGTTTTTCTGACCCAGTGGTTCTTCAGAAGAAGTTTTTTTAATGACCCTACCCTAATTTTGTATTATTTTGATTAATTCCCCTTGTGAGGGGACTCAGACCTTCATTTTCACAATTTAATCCCCCCTACCCATATGCTTTGTACCAAGTTTGGTTAAAATTGGCTGAGTGGTTCTTGAGAAGAAGTAAAATATGTGAAAAGTTTACAGATGAACAGGCAGACAGACAGCTAGACAACACACAAAATGTAATCAGAAAAGATGTAAAATTATACCCTGAGATATCATACCTTTAGCATTCTTCTCCACAATCTTCCCTTTGTAAAAAAAACCATCATCCCATCTAGCCTTGACATCTTCACCAATGGACTGTAAGAAAAGAATTTTGAAAGTTTTACATGGGCCAAAATAAACTGAATTTTAAAGGCAACATTATTCTTATTCATGGAGATAAGAATAAGTTTACTTGTCCGGGGAAATTAAAGTGTATCTTTTATGTGAAAAAAATTCAATGAATAATTTTGTAAAACTTTCTTCATAAAGAATGCACTATTGATTGTATAAACATTGTCACTTCCCATTTGAAACATTTATAATTTTTGTCTTGAAAATAGACTTAAATATACATATACTTACAAATTCATAGTCTTTGACTTCATCAAGGGATAGCCATTTGTCGAACTGGGCTCCATATCCTACATAGTGCACTTTCACTCCATCCACCTTCATTTTCACAACCTTGGCTTTAAACCTATAATTTTAAAATATTATAAGTGGAAGGGTTTTTCTAATATAATTCATGAAAGAATTGTTCTTTTCTTATCTTTTTATTTCAAAGTCATCTTGGACCTGCTCTTTATTAAAAACAAAACTTTATTAACTTTAGCATTGACATGAAAAATAGAATATCAATAATTTTAAGTTCAAATAAACATATGATCAATATTTACAAAATTGCAAAGTACTTTTCAGCTATGTCACTTTAATGGGCATCAACATAATTTCTTTATTCAACAACAAATATAGTTTACAGAGTATCTCAAAAGGTTCATATAAAGGTTATTTACCAGTCTCCATCATCTTTGGCCCAGACACATTTACCCTCTTCCAGGTTTTGGATCTGAAAGTTAATTTGGATTTTATAAGAACTGAAAATATTTTACGTACTATATACAAAAGATAGTATAAATAATATATATAATATATTATTGTTACAAAGAAGAATGATTGCTCAAAATTTATTTAAAATATATTTTACACTATAACAAGATTATTCAGATTATATAAAATTTCATTTATCAATCATGAATTTACTGTAAATCTTCACCTCAATGCTTGTTTTTGTTTTTCTGTTGTCCTCACTGGTCTGCGTTTGCACCATCTGGCATGGCTACAAAAAGCAAATGATATCTGAGTATAATTGTATTCCTTTTTACCCATCATATTCTATTAAACATCAACTTAAGTCCATTCACAGAGGATGGGTTAGTTGGAAACACTTTTATCACTGAGTTAGCAATATTTCAGCCATATTTCGGCTAAAAGTGGAAAAAATATTATCTTTATATCTCTGATAGTTGGGAAATATCATAAAACAACTATATGCTATTGGGTGTAAAGCGGTTCTGTAAAATAAATGCTTCTGTCTCAAGTGTGTGACTATGGCATTAGTTCTGTTAAAAAGGAATACTAGATCTTTTTGTACTATACTCAGCACTCAGGGCCGCTGAGCAGTGAGGAATCATAATATGCAAGCACCTGCAACAATGGACCTCTGTATGCGGCCTTATCTGAAGGACCGATCTCTACATCCCACAGTGGGATGTGATCCTGTGACGTTCCTACCACAGCACCATGTGGCTGTCTTAAATCAAATGAAAAATTGACTAAAATTTACCTCTTTCTCGTTGTCTTTTCTCAGATCCTTCAAAGTCGTCAAGAGGGTTTCCTAGAGAGAAAAGATAAAATTGATATTAAAAATGAAGAAAGCCAGAATAAATATTTATTGCTGATTTTTTTTTAAAAAACTGGGATTACATATATTTCATTATTTCATTGTCATCCACTGCCATTATCTAAGACCTTTAAAAAAATTTGAACCCTAAACACACTAGCAGAATTTAAATTTCCTCTTAACAGTGTTTAAATTCTAATTTTACATTTAATTTTAAGAACTTTTTTTAAAAATAGAAGGAGTTATAATGATTAGCTCTGGTTTATATTTTCTGACATTTGTAAGGTGTTGCGTATCACCATATTTTACAAACATCTTTCAGGTGCATTAGCTATTTTTACCTCATTATCTGTGGTAGTCTCTGCAGTCTGTGCAGTTTCTTGGACACTTGCAGTCTCTGCATTTTCCTGAAATGAATAACCTTCAGCTTGTAATACATGATATATGTATACAGTATCCTAAGAATTCGTCATTTATTTCTGAATCGATAACACAAATTCATGTTTATGATACAGTCAAACCAAGTTATATTATATAAAGTTACAAAAAATACATACCGATTCAATAGAGGAAAAGGACAGTCCAATATAGCTGAAAATAAAATAAAGGTCATATATAGTGATTTTGTCTGATGTATAGCAGCATTCATCTTCTAAAGTTCTGATTCAAAAGTGTCTAGCTTATGTTGTTGAATGATACTTATAATGCCGCTGTTACTTTTAAACTTTAAACAACACATAACTTTATGCAATTAATGCGATTCAAATTAACAGTGATATAACAAATTACCGTGAATATGTCAGTTTTGGGGTAAGGACCACTAAGTTGCCTTCTTCCTCCTGGTCAGAGTAATAAGTCTGCAAAAATAACACAAAACCTTTAGGATCATTGATACTCTGATAAAAGAGATAAATCTTAATGGCATAATTTCTATTATTCCCATATAAAACTGTCAATTTGATGTGTTTCTTGTCCAATTTTGCCCCACAAGCTATACTAAAATTGTATTTTATTTAACAAATACATTTCTATTGAATTGTTACCATGC